GCAATAGTAAAACACAAGCTCTCTTTCAATGGTCTTAACTTATAAGCACACAAAGCTCGTTCTTCATGACAATTCTGAAAAAGGCTTGGCAACGTATATCCAACAGGCACCATTTAAGAGTTCTTAAGAAAATGCCCACTTAAACTGTCAGCCAAACTTTTCACATTTGTAACCATAGAAATCAACATCCATGAATTAATCTAAATGCTACGCTGATAATACGAAACAATACCCTACAGTTTAAATCATCAAAAGTAGCTCTTAGCTTTAAAATACTACCTCTCCATATTTCTATCCATCAACTCAATCAACTAGACTATCAAGATGATCAGTATCATTTTCTCTGGCTTCACTCATCCCCAACCCTTCTCTCCCCCCTACCTACCCTCAACCTTCTCTCTTCTCCTTCCCTCTCTCTGGGATTGTGAAGATTTTGTTTATGGGTCACAACCTATGGTGCTCAGGGGACCATGCAGTGCCAGGTCACACCTGGTGGTGCTCAGGGAGCCACGTGGTATTAGGGCTCAACCTCATACATGCCAGCCAAGTGCTCTACCACTAAATCACACCCCCGTCCTCTGGAGAATTTTTGTTCGGTTAGTTTTTGGACCATACCCAGTGGTGCTCAGGGCTTATTCAGAGTCTGTACACAGGGATCACTGCTGGTGGGACTAGAACCATTTGGGGTGTCAGGGATAGAACTGGGGTCGGCAACAGGCAAGACAGGAGTCCTACCTGCTGTACATACTGTTACTAGAGATTTCTTATAGTCAGTTTATCTTCTAAGTGACTGCTGTTGGGGATACAATACAGACTGACCTCAGGGATCACATATGCGACTGGCCTGCTGTTAAGTGTCCCCAAGCTTTCTGGTTTTGATTTTCTAAAAATATACCAGAGGATCAGAGACAGCTCAGTGGGCTGGGGGACATGCTGTGCATGCAGGAGGCCTGGGTTCAATCCCTGGGACTGCATGGTCCCCAAGGTCCTGCCAGAAACAACCACGGAACACCAAGCCAAAAGTAGTCCCTGAGCACTGCTGGGTGTAGCACAAATCCCAAAACCCGCCCCACAATACACAACAGCTTATGTGTGTATATTTTGGTGTGCATAAATATTTACATATGTGTTTGTACATATATATATTTATACACAGACACGCATATATATGTATACAAATGTGTGGCTTTCCTTCCTTTATGCTCATGTTTTTGGTATAAAAACCGTATGAAAAGAGGCAAGGTAAAAGATCAGATGCCGAGGGGCCGGCATGAGCCTCAGAGGGATGGAAAGCACGTGGGACACAGGCCAGCTGCCAGCACATGGCCCTAGAGCACTGTCGGAGCAACCCCTCAAGCACTGAGCCCAAAGAAAGAAGGAAAAAAAAAGACCAAATGATGAAATCTTTCTGAAGCTTCAGCAACTACACTGCATTTAATGGGGTGAAAAAACACTCAACCTAACTCTGAACTGCACTTTGAAAAACATTATGTGTGTGTGTGTGGGGGGGGGGGAGGGTTATATGCCAATATATAAACAATCTACTTACTCTCCTTGAGCAGCAAAATATACCTTTCATTTTCAAGTTTTGCCCATATTAAATTAAAATAACCTCAGACAAAGCATTCTTGTTGCTCTAGGATTAAGAATTTCCAATAACTCAACCTAGTTGTAATCTGCTAGAAACCCCTTTCTAAAATTGATTTGCTCCACCTCCTTACACTATTTCTCTCCTAGTCTGTTCACCTTAATAGAATATTGATGGATAGGGGGCTGGAGAGATAGCACAGCAGGTAGGGCGTTTGCCTTGCATGCGGCCGACCCGGGTTCGATTCCCAGCTTCCCATATGGTCCCCTGAGCACCGCCAGGAGTAACTCCTGAGTGCAGAGCCAGGAGTAACCCCTGTGACCCAAAAAGCAAAAAAATAAAAATAAAAGAATATTGATGGATAAAAGCACTAACTAAAAGAGGGAAAAAAGTGTATGATTCACCCCCTGCCTATAAGGAGCTGTATGATATATAATGCATGAAAACGAACATGTATCCAAAACCTAAAAAGATACTGACTGGGCCTGACATCAATCTTCTACAACAAATCTAATAAATTTTCCTTTTCACTTCAGTTTTACTAAACATTCCACAGAAATTCACATTTTGGGTGAACGCATGCTAAAAAGGCTAGCATGAACACGCAAGGAAAACAGGAAAACTAGTGAGAAAAAGTCCTTAAGCATAAAGGGCAATATCTGAAGTTCTTCACAAAACCCGAGATTGGCATTTATTCCCAAAATTGATTTTCCACACATTAATTATGCTTTAGTAAGCATCATATATCTAGAATCAAATATTTCCCGTCCTGGAGTAGCCACAACCCCAGGAAGAGTGCACTGAAACTCTTGAGGTTACTCAGAGCAGACGCTTCTGAGCTTGCCCCTTACCCTCCAACCCTGCCAGCTTACCAAGGCGACGAGCAAGCCCATGGCAGCAGGAAGCACTGGGTGGTCAGAAGACAGGCCTGATTCTGAGCCTCCAGAGTGGGGACCACAGTGCAAGGGGCCAACCCCTCCTAAGTCCGCCCCCACAACAATAAATCCCGCCTCCTCAAATATTTGCAAGATCTTAATTTCAATAATCACTAGTCATCACCATTTTCCCCAGCACAATGAATACCTACTAAATATAAGGAATTAAGTATAAAAATTAAAAATTTTGCTTTGTTTTGTTTGGGGCCACTCCTGGCTGTACTCTGGTTCATGCCTTGCAGGCACTGGGGACCTCTATGCGGTGTCAGGGATCAAACCCAGGTTGGCTGTGTTCAAGGCACGCACCTCTCTGGTCTCAATAATAGTTTTTAAATAATTTTAATCCCATCTCAAAAATTTAACCCCAGAACACATGAGTTTAAATTTCCCATAAACTCACCGTCTGTGATAATTTTACATAAATACTTCTTGAGGACAACCCAGAGGTCAGGCCGTTTTACAGTTCACAGGGAATATAAATTCAGGTATTTAAATCATGGGAAGTTGGTCTTTAGCACCCAAACTAAAATGGAGATGGATGCATAATTGTAAATAAAACGAAAGCCTACAATTTAGGTTTCAATTGGAATATACAAGAATCCAGAGTGAAAACTGAATTCCTTTCTTCATTATCTCTCATATCTGAACAAGAGCACTCATTATCTTCATTATCTTCTACTCCTATACTTACTTCCCTAAATCCAGTAGCTGAATTTTAAAACCTGGTGAAAAACAGAAACACAGAAGACCATTCACAAAACTCCTCACTGGGGAAATAGAAATCCCACCCCCCCCCCCCCCCTTGAGACTACTTAACGAAAAATAATTCTCCCTCATCAATGTTGAGTTTGAGCTGAGCAGAGGAGGGGAGTCCAAGGTACAAGAGATCAAATCAGGGGCAGAGAGATCAAATCAGGCAACCCGGGTTCGATTCCCAATCTCCAGCATCCCCTATGGTCCCTTTCCACGGCCAGGAACAATTCCTGAGTGAAGGACCAGAGTAACCCCTGAGCATCACCGGTGTTGCCCAAAAAGCAAAACATTTTTCTAAAATTTAAAAATTTACAAAAAACAAGAGTACCAAATCCAAGGGTTTCAAATAAAAGACAAGAGATTAAACAGTACCGACTAATCAACTAATCGGATGGTTTTGTTTTGGTCATGCCCCTGCTGAAAGTCTCATCTAACTCTTAGCAGAAGACAAAGTCCTATAGAACAAAAATATGGCACACAAATTCAAGACCAAAGTTAGTGAGAAGGCTTGCCCTCTTGTTCACAAAATGAGAATTACACTTAGATGCACAGATACAAAAGTAGTCCTAACTTCACCACCTTATCGCGTAACATCAAGAACTTGCCAACACTTCCGGGGTCGGCAAACTGCTCGTGAATTAAGAAGGGGGTGGGGGGAATCACTACAAAAGCATCTCTAAGGTCCCAACATTGAAATCACATGATTTACCATCCAATAACTTACTATTCAAAGGCACCTGGGGAAAGAGGGGCGGGACAGGATTGTTTCAGGACCCAGTGAAGTGGGTAGGGGGGTGGCATTGGGCAGCGAGGGCCGGGGGACAAAGGCAGGGGGCCACCGCGGCAAGACCCACACTCCACCTTCCACCGTAAGAGTTTCCCACTGACACAGTGCCCCTCTCTCCACACGGGAGACAAAGCGGATTTTGCTTGGACCACAGAAAAGAATCCAGTCCAACTGACAACCGGCTCTGAGACAAGAAATCAACAAATTCTAGTCTAGGGCTCAAGACAGGGATGGAACCCAAGCAACAGCTCCTCCAACCGGCTGGGGCAGAGGAGCATTTGCAAGTCCTTTAAAAAAAAAAATCCCGATTTTCCTCTCACTCCAAGTTCGGGATGGGCACAGCAGTCACAAGCACAGGCAGAAACTTTGGGAGCAGCACTCACAAACGACACAACAGGTTGAGAAACGCAGGTGGGCATCGCAGCGGAGTGACCAGCCAGCAGGGCCATCCCACGCCCCCCACCCCCTCCAAGAGCACTCCACCCCCAATCCCACCCGCAAAGGCTACCAAGAAATCCCCCAAGGCCCTCAAGGCGCCCCCCTCCCGGCTCTGCAGCAGCCCAGGTTCCGTTCCTTCCCTCCGGGGGTCGCGCCACTCCCCCGTCTCCCTAACCCGGGGGGCCACCACCCCCGGCCGGGCAGACTCGCGCGCGCGGCCCCTCCAGCGGCGGCAAGCAGTAGCAAGAGCAGCATCTCCGCGGGGGAAGGAAACACAATGTCGCTCCAGATTTCGGCGTACAAAAGGACTTTGCGCCCTCCTCCTCCTCCTCCTCCTCCTTCTCCTCCTCGAGCTGCCGCCGCTGCCCGCCCGGGCCGCCTCTTAAACTTGCAAGAAGGTGGGCAACGCGCCATATTCCAGCGTCCCCCCCCCCACCCTCCTGGACCACCCCCGCGCCCTCCCTCCCAGCCCCCGCCAACCCGCGCGCCCCGGGTCTACCTGAGCGACCAGCCCACGCCACCCCGGCGGTCGCCCCCGGAGCCAGCCGCCTCCTCTCCTCCCGCAGGAGACAGCCGCTCCCGCGCCCCGGCCCAGCCCGCCGCGCCGCGCCGCCCGCGGACGAGCCCCGGGCAGGGCCGAGGGGGCGAGCCGGGCCGGGGCCGCCGCCGCCGCCGCCGCCGCCACCGCCGCCCGGGTCCCGCGCAGCCCGCCCGCCCGCCGCCCGGGCCCGGGGCGCCCGGCGCGCTCTCCCGGGGCCGCCCGCTCCCGAGCCCGCGGCCGGGGCCGGCGCCGAGCCCCGGGTTCCACGACCCGGAGGAGGCCGCGGCCCCGGGAGCCGGCGGCGGCGGCGTGGCGGGGGAGGCCGGGGCCGCCCGGGAGGGCAGCGCCTCCCTCCCGAGCCCGCCAGGACGCCTGGGGCCTAGTGCGGCCTGCGCATCCTCGGGTGGCGGTTTGACGGGGCCGGGCCGGGGCCCCCCGCCCAAGGCGGGCCCGAGCCGCCGGGGGCCCGGGCCCCGAGCCGGGGGCGGCAGGGTGCCGGCTGCGGGGCGGGCCGGCCGGCCGGCGGGCGGGCGGCGTGTTGCGGCTGCGCCGGGGCTGAAATAGCTGGAGATTGCGCGGTAGGGCACTCACCTCAGAGCGGCTGCGCTACCGTGGGCCTGCGCCGTGGAGACTGCGACCGCGCCGGCTCCTCGCAGCCTCCTGCCACCAGCGGCAATGGCGAGCGCTGCCGCCTCTGCCGCCGCCGCCGCCGCCGAGGGGGGGAGGGGAGGGAGGGGGAGCACGCACGCGACGCACGAGCCCGGCTTCCCCGCCCGGCCGACGCCATGATGGGGAGGTCGGGGCCGCCCGAGGCGGCGGGGCCGGAGCGCTCGCTGCTGCTGCTGCCGCTGCCGCTGCCGCTGGTTGCTATTGCTGCGAGCTCCGGCTCCGGCTTCCCCGCCCGCCCGGCCGCCGCCATGATGGGGAGGTCGGGGCCGCCCGAGGCGGCGGGGCCCGGGCCGCTGCTTGCGCGGGCTCCGTCGCGGCTCCCGCTCGGGGCCGGACCGCTGCGCGCCCCCCACATACACACACACACACACACCCCACCAGCTTCTCTCCCCCACCCCGGAGCCTTTTCGGCCGCCAGTTCGTGTTTTTTTCGCCTCTCCAGTGTCCCGGATGGAGCCGGAGCCGCGGAAGTCCCCTCGCCTTGGTCCAAAGCGGCCGCCGCGCCCGGCCCGATGGAGCCGGCCGCCCAAGATGGTGCCTGGGCCGGAGACGGGGACATGTCTCGGGCCCCGGAACCGGGACCAGGGGAAACACCCCTCCCGCCCCGGCCTGGTTTTGTGGCTCTTTTCTCAGCCCTTGCTCGCCCGCCCGGCCAGCGACAGGCAGACGCGTGTGTCCGAGCAGCCGTGGGTGCCCCGGGCCCGTTCTGGGGGCTCCGGAGACGGACCGGTGGGATCAGACCAGCCCTCGCCTTTTGCATGAGCCCCTTGGGAGAGGAGGGAAGCCGGCCAGTAATAGGGAACCCCCCCCCAACTCCAAACAGGTGCCTGGGAAGCGTGCACGGAAGAGCCGCATTAATATTGGAGACGGCGGAGGCTGTGGGGATTCCCTGTGTTGTGCGTGTGCCCCGGAGTCGACTCGCAGCGTCGGCACACAGAGCCCTTAAATCCTGGGTCTCGCTTGTTGGTGTCCCCAAAATGCTTGATTGCTTGCTTTATTTATTTATTTATTTATTTTTGGTGGGCGGCAGGGAAAGACCCACAGCCGGTGGCGGTTGGCTCTCAGAGGGTGCCAGGAATCGAACCCGGAGCCTGCAGCATGCAAAACGCGCACTCTAGCTCTCTGCGCTTAAAATTGTACACTTTTTTTCTCTTTAGCACTCTCCTTCCACTCGTCCCCCTCATCCCCAATGCGTCACACACACACACACACACACACGCACGCACACACCCCTATTCTCACATTTCCCTGGTGGTTCTCATGCATCCCAGAGTTTAAGAACCACTGACTTCGGAAATTGCTAAATATCCCAAAGGTATTCTTTCACAGAAATCAGGAAATTCTTTTTCAACAGGTTCCATTTTGCCTCAAAACTCAGAAGTGGAAATTGTTGTTTGTTGTTGTTTTTGTTTGTTTGGTTGGGTTTTTTTTTTTAGGCCACATCCCCACAGTGCTCAGGGAGTACTCCTGGCAGGCCTTGGGAATTACATGGGGATTGAACCCGGGTCAGCTGCCACAGTGCAAGGCAAGTCCTGCTCTATCGCTCTGACCTACTCCCAGCATTTCCTAAGAGAGCAGTTCACCACCTGTTTTCCAGGTGCTCATAAGCCAGACCCTAGTTTTGTCTGAGGGCCATACCCAATTGTGTTCAGGGATTATTCCTGGCTCTGTGCTCAGGGATCACTCCTGGGAATGCTTGGAACCAGATGGTATGCAGGGCATCAAACCAGAGCCGGTTGTGTGTAAGACAAGCAACTCACCCTCTGTGCGGGTCGCTCTGGGCCCACCAGTTTCCTCTTTAAGTGGTTATTTCCAGAGGTCTTATCTTGGTTCAGGCAATCATGTTTCATCATGATACTGCAAATCATGGGATGGGGAGATGTTTCAAAGGACCTAGTCCCATTCTTTGTGTTTGGGAGCCCCTGGTTCAATCCCCTGCACCCCAGAGCCCCCAAAGCAATCCTCTGATTACTAAGCCAGGAGTTGCCCCCAAGCACTGCCAAGTGAACCCCACCCCCCAAAAAATATATTAAGAGGCCAGAGCGATAGAACAGCAGGGAGGGCGTTTGCCCTGCACTCAGCCAACCTAGGTTCGATCCCCACCATCCCATATGGACACCCCGAGCCCCACCAGGAGTAATTCCTGAATGCAGTGTCAGGACTAACCCCTGAGCACTGCCGGATGTGGCCCCCAAAACCAATCATAATTTTTTTGTTTGTTTTTTGAGGTACACTCAGTGATGCACAAAGCCTACTCCTGGCTTTTGCACTCAGGAGTTACTCCTGGCAGTGCTCAGGGGACCATATGGGATGCTGGGAATCAAACCCGGGTTGGCTGCATGCTAGGCAAATGCACTACCCACTGTACTATCGCTCCAGCCCAATCATAATATTTTAAATAAATATATATTAAAATATATTTTTTTATGGATTCTAGGACTGGAGCGATAGCACAGCAGGTAGGACATTTGCCTTGCACGTGGCCAACCCAGGTTTGGTTCCTCCGTCCCTCTTAGAGACCCCGGCAAACTACCGAGAGTATCCCGCCTGCACGGCAGAGCCTGGCAAGCTCCCCATGGTGTATTGGATATGCCAAACACAGTAACAACAAGTCTCACAATGGAGACGTTACTGGTGCTCACTCAAGCAAATCGATGAACAACGGGAGGACAGTGCTACAGTGCTATGGATTCTAAAAAAAATGTATTTTTAAAAACTTGCTTCTTTACCTGTTCATAGTTTCCCCAGCTAGGAGTGACCCCTAATTCATTCTCCACTCTACAACTCGAATAAACTTTCAGAAAAGCAAATCTTGTCATTTCCCAGCTTGACAAGTTTGGTAAGATCCCATTACCTTTAAGTTAATCGCCTGAAGTTCTTGGAGGTAGCTGCAGGGTTCTTCATGACCTCACCCACCACTGTCATCTTTGACCTCATGGGTCACCTACATCTTCCCCAGACCACAGCCGAGCTGCAAAATTCTAGAGTCACAACACAGGAAGTCCTTCCAACACACAAGTTTTCCCTGGTCTGTTCTCTCTGCAGGAGGTTTTGGTGTTTTTATTGCTTCACTTCAGTCTGTCCCTTCTCTTCCTCTGAACAATTTCTACAGCTTCAGGCCTCCCCATGAATGCCGTCTCCTCCAGGAAGCTCACCACCCCCAGACTGGGTGCTTGAGGCTTTCCATCATCACACCAGTACTTGCACCTCTGTTTACTGAGATTACAGTAGGTGCCAAGCCCTATGCAAAGTCCTAAACAGGGACTGGGAGCTGGCTCAAAGGCTGGGCACTTGCTTTTGCATGCCTGAGGCTCCAATTCATGGGCATGGCCCCCAAACCAAATAAAAGCCCTAACAGATTAGATGCTTCTCGATTAATTCTCAAGGCTGCTCAAGAACCAGGTGCTGTTATCATCCCAGTTTGCCATTTTGCAAATGCGGAAGGAAGGCTTAGAGGAAGTATTACGTGCCCAAACCCGGGAGTTAGCGGCAGAGCCAAGGGTAAAAGTATCAGCCTGACATCAGCGATGCACTTCTCGGTTTCCAGCAGTTTTTCAGCAGTTTTTCGCTTCAAGTGTGATACCCACAGGTGAAGCAGGAGTGAGCAGCTTGCAGGCAACACCTCATCAAAGAATCCAGGAAAACCAGAAAACACCCAATCAGCTCAGCTCTTTGTTTGTGAAACTTACATTTCAGATATTGACATGGATGTGGGGGGTAGTGGGGGGTGCACCTTTGCACACTTTCTATTGGATTCCAGTTGCAAAAAGTTTGAAAGCTCTGCAATGCTTTTCTCCACACCACTTCTTGGTCCCTGTTTCCTATTCCAAATCTACAGGAGAGCTGAGATTGTTTCTTGTTTATGATTATATACCAATATCTCATGCCAAACCTAGCTCATAGCGAACCTTCAGTAAACCTGATGAAAAACCTCTGTGTTCACCCCCCAGAAATATGTTACTTTGTTTTGCAGTGCCAGAAATCAAATCATGCACAGACAAGGCATGTATCCCCAGCCCTAAATTACTTAAGACAAATGAGCTTGGGGACCCCAGCTTTTCTGTTCAAAAGCTTCCATAGCCTAGATGACCAGAAATTCTAGAAATCAGTTTCAGAGGGGAAAAAAGCAAACAAAAAATCAGTTTCATGGCAGTACTCCTACATTTAAAAAAAAATCAGTTTCAGAGCAAAAAAGCAAATACAAAATTTTTTTTTAATTCGGGGTGGAGAGTTTGCACATAGGGTTCCTGCTGAAGTGGTCACTAACAAGGCAAGTTCCTGTAGTCTCTCCAGGCCCCCAAAGCAGAACAATATGAGAGGGAAAAAAAAAAACAAGTCTAGCAAAGGTATAGCGATCATCTTCAGTATAGGGGAGTCAGGAACTATAGGCAGAATAATGCCAAAGGGCCAGAGAGATATCACAGTGGTTAGAGCACTCGCCTTGCATGTGGCTACCTGG